TAAGCGGCGGCGGCGCGAGGCTGTGTGCCCCTGGCTGTGTGTATAGCTAACGTGTGTGTGTGTATGTGAATTGTGTATGTGTACATGTATGTGCAGGCACATCCAGTAGTATCTGTACGGGTGTAATAAAAAGGTTTATGTACATATATAGGTATATGTATGTATACACACACATCTAAACACACAGGCATGCACATATGTGTCACGGAGTCACAGGCTGGTTGAGTTTGGAAGGGACCTCTAGAGGTCATCTAGGCTAAGCCCCCAGCAGGGACACCTCGAGCACAGGACGCAGGGTCACACCCACACGGATCTGGAAGATCTCCGGAGAAGGGGACTGCACAACCTCTCAGGGCAGCGTGTTGCTACTGTATATACACACACACACACACACACACACACACACACACACACACATACACACACATATACATTCGAATCCAGAGATGACATAAACCTGCAAGGAAAACAGCTATAAAGGCTGGGTGAAGATCAGATTTCCTGTCTGGTTTGTGCCCCCAGGTAACAGTGCCTGTGCAGGAGGTGATGCCCAGGCCTTTTAGCTACTTCAGAAGGATTTCTTCCCAGTGAGGCCATGGGAGAGCAAAACTTGCTCAGTGGGCATGAAGTGGGAAAGCTCTGCTCTTCCTGCAGGATGGTGGTGGCCAGCAAAAGGATAAGAGAAAATGGCCACGAGCTGAAGCACCATAAGTTCCCCAAGAACTTAAGGGAAAATTTCTTGACAGTGAGGTTGCCAGAGCCCTGGCACAGGCTGCCCAGGGAGGCTGTGGAGTCTYCTTCTCTGGAGATCTTCCAGACCCGCCTGGATGCCGCCCTGTGCCCCGTGCTCTGGGTGTCCCTGCATGTGCAGGGGAGTTGGACTACGTGATCTCTAGAAGTCCCTTCCAACCTTAAGGATACTGTGGTTCTTGGGCGTTGCTGGTGGAAAGCAAACAAAGGGTGTTTCTATGAGCTTTGGTAGGCAAAAAAATGTTTGTATTGCAATGGTTTCAGATCTGTTCTTTGTATCAGGAAGAGGTTAAAATACAGATGCAAATACTTTTTTTTTTTTTTTWATAKCATCTGGCAAAGTAAAGACTAATGTTTAAGTAAAAATCTCCCCCCAAAAGAATATTTAACATATTTCAGCACATGCATGAGCGAAGAGGGCCTTTAGTTCACTGTAACATGGGGCTGTTGCAGAATACAAGTTGTTTCTGTTACTTAAGCATCTATATAGGCTAACCTATTCACACTTTCTGTACCTTGTTTTAAGAATTATTAAATAGCGAGCAGGTTTGGATCTTTCATGGTTTCTCTGAATTTTTTCATTTAATTAGGGAAGAGGGAAGGAGGAATATTGTGCATCACTGTTAGCTTTTCAGCAGTTTACAGTGCATTTTATCTTTTTTTTTTTCCTCCAGAGGAAAAATAGGTTATGCCTGATAAGAAATTTAATGTACTATATATAAGGACCAGTGAGCGTTCTAGGCAATATTTTGTTTTTATGTAAATAGATTCTTTAAGTGAATATGTGTATTTTTTTTAAAAAAAAGCTTTAGAAGTAGGTTTATAGCAGGTAAGGTATGTGTGATAGTGGAAGAGGTAACCTTTCTCAAAGCTTGTGTAGTCAATTAAAATACCTGTATATAAATGTAATCTGTGTAGTAAGCTTGTGCTGTAACTTTTTTTTTTTCCCTAATTTGCCTTGCACAATTTCTTACTAATTATAATACCTATTTATTTCAGGAAGAAAATGAAAATCTTTTCCGAGTCTCATAAAACTGTTTTTGTTGTGGATCACTGCCCATATATGGCAGAATCCTGTAGACAACATGTTGAATTCGATATGTTAGTAAAGAATCGGACCCAAGGAATTATACCCCTAGCTCCCATATCCAAATCCCTATGGACCTGTTCAGTGGAGTCATCCATGGAGTACTGTAGAATAATGTACGATATTTTTCCTTTCAAAAAACTGGTAAGTTATAGAGTTACCCTACTTAGTTCCTCATAGTATAGCAGTATTTTCCATTTTAATGAGATCTTTTAATATAACAGCAGATAACGTATGAGAATATCTTTGAGCTATTGATAGAGTTTGTGCCTTTTATAAATGGTTTGAGTAATAAGTGAATCCAATTACATATTTGGTTTGGGGGACATCACATAATCTTAGTGTCATTTTGTAACTCAGTGCTGGATTGYAAAATATAAGGAGAGAAACTTTCAGGTAGTATATAAATTTATTATTGTTTTCTTATGCTCTTTAAGTTTATAGACGCTTAAGTGAGGTGTTTTAGATCGAATTTTGGTTCTTCTGGTAGCCCTGCTGCAGGTTTTTCATTACTGAGTTTGAAGGATTGCAGAACTGTAGGAAGTAGTAGGATCTCTCTCTCAAACTACCAGCTGGTAGTGGGAGAACTGCCTGCCACGTGGTTTCTTCCTTAGAATTTTTTTTTTCTACTGTGGGCCTTCACGTGACTTTTTTGATCTGCGTTCTCATTAATGAGTAGTAGTCTAAATTTAAAAGCCAAATGGATCGAACAGCTAAGGATCCTGGTACTTGTTGAAGGATGCTTGTTGGGCAGACTGAAGTAACACATTAGTTTGCATTTGAATGCAGGGCTTATGGGCATTGTAAGTAACACACCATGTGGAAAACTGTCTTGTGTTAGACCATCTTTTCTCTCTTTGGGTCAGAAAAAATGTGATATTTAAGCATGAATTTTGCTATGATTACAATTTTGCTTATGGCAGATGTGTTGTAAGCAACATCTTGGAACAAAGAGTCCCAACTCTCGGGAASAGTTACAGCTTGAACTAGAAAGCATTTCATGGAAGTATCAGCTTGTGCTTAAAGGCAAATGATACAACTGCAATACCAAGAAAGAAAACCTGTTTTTCATCTCTGTATCAGTGAGGCATGCACAAAGCATAGCCCTGGAAGAGTTTTCTTTGTTCTAAC